GAGTGGATAATTATTTAATTATCCACTCTTGGTGCCACTAAGGCTGATGATGTCAATCAGCACATATTTGCAGCTAGATGATTAGAACTGAACATGCATTATAATTTCCTTTGAAAGTTTATAATGTTTTCATACAACCAATTAAGTCAGTCATTGATTATTACTTGTTAGTCTATAATGTGCATGGAGGAGAATGAGTCTTCCTTGGATTCCTACATGGGAATTTGATGCAATAATAAAGTTTGTGGATTGTTTAGTCTGCATGTGACTGTGGATCATGAAGTGTACAAAACCCAAATACTAACATAAGATTTCTCATTATAGGCAGTGGCGTAGCTAGAATAAATGAAGAAAGAGGGCACAGTGGGGGCACTGACTAAAGCAATGCTCAAGAATACTCAATATAGTAAGCTCAATTGAGTCAGTTGTAACTTGTATCTTTCATTCTCCTGCCTAGTTGCAGGGGCACAATTAAGAAGCAGTTATGAAGGCACTTGCCCCCACAGGCCCCTATGTAGCTACGCCACTGATTATAGGTATATACCAGTGTTCTAGGATCAATAGCACTTATGATGATTGCTTTTTGCTCTGTTTCCTCCTTTATATATAGATATGGGGGGCTTTTAATTTTGTATCAGTATAGGCTTTATCATCATTATAAAGTGCTGCATTTTTTCTTTAGAAGGAAGTGAAGTGAACATTAATTTTTGTAGTCATTATTATTGTCAACTATTTTTGGTTTAAATTTATGATTGCATTGTTTCCAATGATGCCAGACAGATAGATGGTCAAGCAAATGAAAAAAATTGATTTTTAATTATGAGATGTCGCTGCATGGTACATTGGTTCAACCTTTAAGTGGGAAAGGCATGTAAATATAAAAGGTATGTTGTATGTTAGTACAGATTGTAATTCAATGGCTTTTGATTTTGTTATTACCAAGTGGTAGCGCTTGGTATGTAGGATTGCATATGTGGTTAATACTGCAGCTACTGCTCTAGTGTGTGTGTGTGTGTGTGTGTCATTTGGAGTCGTATCAAAAATGGTCTGACTTAAATTAACAATGAAATTAAGGCTGTGGTTGCTTTGGTCTGTTTCCTCCTCTTATATAGATATGGGATGCCGTCTGTGCATGTGTGCTTTAATATGACTAGTTGTAGGCTTCTTTCATTTGATTGTTGTAGATCTACTGCACATTAATTAATTTTTTATTAGAAATAAATATTTTACTTCTCTTTTGTCATTATTTTTAATCAGCACACATAGACCATCAAGAGTGAGAATTGCAAGAGCTATGAACTTCATTAATTTATATACGGTATCCGCCCAAGCGTCATAATTGGCTGCCAAATTTGGTTGGATCAAATTCGCTCCAGAATTCCGCGCCTCTGGATAAGAAGAATGAGACCTATTACCTCTCTTGTCCAACTTGTCGCCATTGTACAGAGTTACCAGGAGAAGGAGTTGAAGCCTTTCCTGTAGCATTCCACCTCAACAACCTCAAAGAGATGCAACTTTTACTGAATATAAAGACAGCAGATTTGCCTCATTCTCAAGAGGCCACATGTAGTGATCATGAAAAGCTCTTGGAGTTCTTCTGTGAAACATGTGATACAGTAATCTGTTCTCATTGCTTACCTCGTACTCACAGACATCATGAATATGAGTTAATCACAGACATTTACTCTAAACACTGTCAAATGTTAAGAGAATGTCTATCACTAGTTGAGGGGGAAAAGGAAGGACTCAAGAAAGCCCTGTCTGCTCTCCAAAAGGAAGAGGGAGAAATCAGAGAGAGGGGAGAAAGTATCCTAAAAGAAGTACATGAAATGGTAGAGGAAATGATGAATGTTCTCCGTCAGTCAGAAAGGAAACTGATCGAGGAGGCAAAGAGGGTCACTGATGCTAAACTTACAAGGCTATCAGAGCAAATGAAATCAACAGAAATGAGTTTGGGCCTTTTAGGGGATGTTGAGGACTATGTAAAGCAGAGTCTGAAGTCAGGCAGTCCACAACAAGTCTTGCGGTTCAAAAAACAGATGATGGAGCATATGAGTGAAGTCACAGCACAGATCAATGTGGAGGAGCTGCATCCAAAGGAAAAAGCAGACTTTGTAATAGGCACATGTAAATTAAAAGCACTTCATCACATTGGTGAAGTTATTTCAGGAACTACTGCATTACAGCAGTGTAGAGTGAAGAATGTCAATCGTATTACATTTGATGGCGAAGCAGTTTCATTTCCATTATCAATGGAGGCACCAAATTCATCTTTTTTGTCCGTTCCTCTCTCTTTTCTCAGGTGTAGTTTAGTGCCAGTTGGTAAAGATGATCAACCCATTCATACTACAGTCACTGCCACTAGCACTCATCCTGGAGTGTATAGGATAAAGTGCAACCCTTCAACACGTGGTATGCATACTGTAAAAGTACAAGTATATGATGTACAACTAGAGGATACTTCACTAGCCATTCCTTTCAATCCTTATCTTGATAACATCACTACAATACATACAGTAACTAAGCTTAACTGTCCATGGGGAGTTGCTGTAAGTGATGATAATCATGTTATAATAACTGAGCATTGGGATAACTGTGTAGCAATACTAGATAGAGAAGGTAAGAAAGTGAAATCATTAGGAGGTACAAGAGGAAGTAGCAATGCCAAGTTTTCTGAGCCTCGTAGTATAGCCATTATTTCACACAAGTTCATTCTGGTATCTGATAGTCACAGGATCCAGAAGATAAGCATGGATGGATATCGTATAGCAACAGTTGGTGAAAAGGGCAGTGGACTACTACAATTTAATACTCCTGAGGGCATAGCCATTTCTCCTATAACAGGACAGACTTTTATCGCTGACAGGAATAATCATCGCATACAAGTCTTGAACCCTGATTTAACCTTCTCTCATTCATTTGGCAGTCAGGGATCAGCTAATGGACAGTTTCAGTCTCCACATGGCATTGCTTTTGACAATGAAGGATTAGTGTATGTTGCTGATTTCAATAATCATCGCATTCAGAAGTTCTCTTCACATGGAAAGTTTGTGGCTAAGTTTGGTACCAAAGGAGCTGGTCCTGGACAGCTTAATAGTCGAAATAGTATAATCATAGACACTGCATCTACTGGCCTAGTGTATATTAGTGAATGGGGCAATAATGGTATCTCAGTGTTTACAAGTGATGGCATATTTGTTACTAGGTTTGGAAGTTATGGCAGCAATAATGATCAGTTTAACTATCCTTATCATGGATTGGCATTTGATAAAGATGGGTTCTTGTATGTTTGTGATTGGGGTAACAACCGACTTGTTGTTTATTAAATCATTAATAGTTTTTAATTATTTATAACCAATTAGATTTGTATTTTTTATAGTTATAAATAGTGTAAAGAACTTGAAATAATTTTATTGTGATTTAATATTGCGGTCACTAGTCAGTTAAAATCAACCCTATTTGTTTGTGTGTTTAACCATAAATATTTAAATTTTGATAAGCTGTTACAACTTGGTGTGTTGTTCCGCTTCTCACTAGTATGTTACAAAAATTATAAACCAGCTGCTAATATTTGCTGAAGAAAATAATATGCCCTTGAGAATTAGCTATACGCCCTTGCAGTAGTTTAGTTTAATCTAAAGAGTATGTACATAACATTACTCAGAAAACTGATACTTTAACTTCAATGGCAATTAACTAAAGCATAAATATCTTGTTAGCTAAAATGTTACTCTATTTACTTGACAGCTGGTTTTAACCTAGTTTTGCACTGTGAGACCCACCCTCTGTGCACAGAGGGTGGGTGTTGCTATGTGAGACTGGGTTTCATCATTTTTTTATGTTATGTATTTTCTCTCAAAACCAGTACTAGTAATAATTATCGTTAAGCCAGATAAAAGATTTGTCAACTGTTTACTAGAGAAGAAAGAGAGCAGAGATAGAAAAAACTAAACATTGCATCACTATATAGGACCTTCATATCCATTGTCTGATCATTAAAACTCCATAATTTTTCCATCTCCTCTATCTCTCTCTATTATTGGATTTTATGTAGCGGTAAAAGTACAGCAGAAAAGATATTATGATACTAGTTCTTTCATTATGTTATTTAGATAGGCACTTGTCCTATGCTGTAGTATATCTTTTAAGATAATAGTTATGCAAACAGTCACATGAGTCAGTGAAGAGAGATTGACCCTGAAACAATGTTTCCTGTAGTGGTTCTTGTCTCTCTTCTTTCTCTTGTTCTAGTATATTCTGCTGCTGGTTTAGAGTGTAGGATCTATGTCAGTTCATCTGATGGTATCAACAATGCCTCTTGTTGGACTGAAGGAGTTCAAACACCTTGTGCTACTATTGATCTAGCTATACAAGGAACTGCTACTCTACAATACAACTGTTCATCAGGTATCCTTATCAACCTGTCACCTGGTACATATACACTAGACACTACTAGTCTACTAGAGCAACAGCAACTGAGGAATAATGTGAGTATTATTGGAATGAGGGATGGTAGTAGGTATGAAGAGGTTAGTATCACGTGTCTACATGTTTCATCCTCTTCATATAACTGGTTGAAGTATATTCTTTTCCGATGTGTTAGTCTTCATAATTGCAACAGTGTTCCTGTTACATGTACTGAGCCATCCTTTAGTATTACTACATACAATGAGCCAGTACTGGGGAATGAGGCTTCTCTAAATTCACAATTAAACTTCACAATCAATTTCGTAATATCTGAATATGATAATTTTTTACATTTGCCTTGCTATGATTATTATTATCATGAAAATTGCCAGTGTAAGTATATTTTATTGCATGCTTATATCAATGAAGCAAATAAGCAACTTGACTGGATATATGGCCTTAAAGTTTGTATTAGTATCAATTCTTCAAAGTATGATTGTCATAACATTTCAAAAGCAAACTGTGAGTACTATCATTATGATGAGAGATGCTATCAAGTGAATAAATGTTTCAATGACTATATTGATGTTGGCCCTGTTGAAGTGTCACTTTATGTTCAAACAATTGATATCATAAATATCAGTACTAGTAGAAATGTGCATGGCATAGCAAAATGCACATCTGATAGTGGAGACTGTCACAAAATTAATGTTTGTGATATAAAAAAGCATTATCAGCTTCCTTGCCTGCGAAGTGGCTCTCATGATTGCTGTAATGACAGCAGTACAGGACAATATTATATGGGCTGTGCATCAGAGTGGGGAATACCAATGAACAATCTCTACACGTGTACTAAATGTGGTGAACATGGTTTACTGGTATTTATTATCATAGAAACATTGCCTATCACGATCATGGTATTATTAATAATAATATTTAATATACAACTAACCAATGGATCTATTACTGGAGTGGTATTCTATTCACAAATAATAGCATCAAGTTTTTCTGTTTATAACATTTATTTTTATTATAATTATAACCCTGTACTGCCACCATCTGAAATACCATGCAATGTATTTAATTTAGATTTCACTCCATTTCTTTATAATTATGTTATGTGTATATCACCTAATACACCACCATTAGGAGTAATTTCCTTTTGGTATGTGATAGGATTCTATCCATTGCTCCTCCTCCTCTTACTCTATGTTTGGATAACATTGTATGATAAAGGTTACAAGTGTGTAGTATTTATTACTAGACCATTTCATCGTTGCATGGCCCGTTTCTGGAGTATGACCGGCATTGAACCATCTTTTACTCACACTATAGCATCAATATATATACTCTGTTTCACTCAATTGGCTGCCACA